ACTTAAAGGTTGGCAACGGTCAGCGTATACTGGCTAACAGGTCCAGCAGTGGCTGACGATGTCGCGTTTACCAATCTTATTACTCGTTTGGCATCGTTAAAGCAAGAGGAATGAATGAAAAACTCACATTCGTGTTATTTGATGCACGTTTTACTTTTTAACAGGACAGGCACAGTGATTATCCTCGTATATACTATGCAATATACACAGATATAGCTCGTTTAACCATCCATGAGAATTTGGCAATGTAAACAAACAATCTCAAAAGTCATAACTGCAGGGTTGCCAAACTCATGCCAAATTTACCTCAGCTTTCAGCACAGATAAAGTTCTCGGTACAAATTGAGGTGTGCAGAGTTGAATACCCCTTGGAAAGCTAATTATTTACGAAATGACTTCAACAGCTTCAAAGTTCAGGGTTTTTAAAGAATCAGAAAATGTTTGTTTCTGTGGATGCCCGGTCATTGTCAGATATCAACGTAAAGAACTGCAACTTCTGAACTAAGACTGCCCGAACAAAATGGGTTTCAGGAAAGAGTTAAGTAAACATCCAGATGGCTAGAATGGTAGAATAATTAAACGTACAGTACAATGAAACGATCCTTTCTCAAAGTAAGCAAGCAGGTCATGAAAATGTCAATAACTAACAGAAACGTGGAACAAAAGGCAGAACTAAGTTTACTCACCCCACCTTATGCCCTGTTGTGATGGGTGAGTGACATAACCAAATTTCAATGCTCATATTCAAAATTGGACACAAAGAAGTGAAGCTGCCATTTCCATCTCAATCCCAACTCAGAACAAACATCATCCTGCATACTCAAGTTCCTGCCCTGCCTCATAACACTCATCGCTTCTCATTAGAGCTACTTAAGAGGCCGCAGAGCAGGGCTTCTCCGTTACACAATGCCTATTGCCATCACCATCAACCGCACAAAAACAGTAGCAGAGAAAAATCTCAGAAAATTGAGATTTTCCTGCAGGCAATTAAACACAGCTCAAGTGGGTTGCCCACCATCAGATGAATAGCATTCTTTCCAGCACTTGCCACAGTGCTGAAGTAAAAAAAAAACCAAAGTCACGTTCTTCATCTCTTCTACTACACTGGCTCGCGTCGAATGACTGGCGGCGAAGGCTCACTTTGCTAGGCATCGTTGTTAACTATTTTCGGGTTGGTTTTCGCAAAAAATATAAAGGAATACCACTAGAAATGGTGAATTCTCACTTCGGAGAGGGAAAGAGAAAAAAGTAGAAAAAATTACACGGATCTACTCAGTAACACAAGATGTTGGCATGAAATGGAAACCAGTCGGAGTGGCTTGCCGCTGTGGTGCTGATTTTATAGTGGGTAAATTTCCCGACAAATTGGTTGAAAATTTCGAATGTAGTTGAACGGCATCTTAGTTCATAAATCAAATTTTCTTCACGTTCTATTAGGATGATTCAAAAACATTATTAAATTGATTCCAAGTTTGCGATGCCAAGGTACAAAAGGCTATAACAAGGCTTTTAGCAATATCATTATTAAGTAATTTAATTTGAATGGCCGGTAGTACAAGCAGTACATTCAAATTTGCACAATAAAACTCTATTTTTGTTTTTGAACGACCCTAAAGCACAGAGAGACTCGAACTGAACTGAGTAGGCTGTGGAAAATTTTCCTCTTTCAAGAGCAATATGCACAGCGAAACGTTCGGAAACAACACAGTGAATTTTCAATTACTCCGCTCCTTGTTGAGATAAGGAAAAAATGAGTTTTTTTTTACTAAATGGAAATATTCAAGCGCACACTAAGAAGACGGAAGATGGAAAACAGACGTACGATGGGATCTAGATGATGGAAGAGCGGCAAAAATGGAAGACAGGAAAACTTTTGAACTTCTTTCCATTCCGAGTGGCTCCCGGAGTCAAACTGCCGCATAATTCCCACCAGAGCAGTCCAATTTTCTACCAAAAACACTGTCAGAGAGAACTAGCGATATCGATGGCTTTTATCTCTTCCCTTCTCCGTCCTTCCCATCAACGTGGGATTGATCCCCTGGCTTCAGAAACCATCTTTTACAGAAACAAATTTAATGCCATCCAACACCAGCAGCGGCAGCAGCCACGTCGTTCGTGTCGGCTTCGGCAACAGTATCAGCAGTGGCATCCGCCGCAGTCCTATAAAACCAGAAAACATCATCAGAAGCAATATGCTGCTACATCGATTCGATAATCATCTCCGTTCCCACCGGTGGGAGTTTTGTGTGAGCCGAAGCGAAGGTTCCTGCAGAGGACGGAGGAAAATGGAGCCGTTTTCTTGCCGGGAAATTGGACCAGAACGTGGTGGGACTACGATTTGATAGTTTGGAATTGAATGTGAAATGTGCATTTTGAGTGGGTGGATGGCTTGGAATTTGAATTGAGTAATTTACATTCAAATCATTGTAGGTCATGTAAAAATCACTTACAAACCGTTACAAACTAGTCCAGTTCAAAAAAGGTCGAAAAACATTTGTGGAAATTTCACAAATCGATTTTAACATTCTATATTGGCACCACCGGACACGCGATGATTGAATGAACACCGGCGAGACTGGATAGAATTCGATTTTGAAATCTGTGTTAGGGAAAGCGGTTTTTGCAGGAAACCGGTGATATTTTCGATCACGATTGCAACAGACGGACATTTGTGTAATTTCCAAAAATGGCATATTCATAGAAAAATTTCCAATCGATTGGCTTGTTTAGAATTAAAATCCATGCGCTTTTGACAGACTTATAAATGGTCAAAGCCTGACCACTTTTCGTAGCGAAAGATGTAATCTTACGTTACAAAAAAAAATTGCATAGGAAAATTTCTATTCACTTTTCAGTATAAAGAACCTACCATCGGAAAATTAACCCTACCTTTAAACCTTAGATTGGTTTTGCATACAGCGCCTTTAGAAAATGATCACCAATCATGTTAGGAAGTCCAAATGTCCGAAGTAACAATCAAGTACCCATCATTTCAAACTGTACATAGGGAAATTTTTGACCTACACACTTAGAAAAAGTCACCAACTTCGGTAGTTCATTTACCGAATTCTCAACAGCTGAACGGTCGGTAATGTTTTCGGTAATCGAGAACATTACCGAAAAATCTGTTAACTGGACCAGCAAAATTAGCTGTCAAATTTACCGAACAATCGATGTGCATTGCTTGATTTGTAGTCAACTTTACCGGAGAACTGTAATTTTGAGGACGATATGGAAATGGAAAATTACCGAGAGATCTGTATTTTTTAAAAAGGTAAACGACTCAACTGTAATTTGCTTTAATATTTCAAGGTAGCGGTCACTGCAAACCATGCAAAAATTTGGCTGCAGTCGTGATCAATGTGTTAGTGTTGAAAATTGATTCACCAATGAAGAAAAACAAGTTTTTGTCGGAAGGATTCGGCGGTCCACTGAAAACAGGGAAGCATTGGATGAAGATTCCAAATGCTGTTTTCAGATCGTCGCCAACGGGAATGGAACTTGGACCGACAGAAAAAAAAGCAACAGCATCGGCCATCTGCAATCGGTATTTATTCAGGTAACGAAAATTAATTACTTACGGAAAATATCTACGATTCGCTCATCTTAGTGTTGCATAACAGCTTCCAGAATTTAACCTTTTTATTTTTCACAAACCGAACGTTTTCAAAGTCGATCGAAAATCATAATATGGTGGATTTGACGTTTACCGAGACCGTTACCGAAGTCAGTAATGGAATACTTTGTTTACCGAAACTTCAGCAAAATATTTCACCGAAGTCAGTGATGAACGAGGGGTGCGGCACATCTAAATCTCGATTTCAAATGGTCGATAAATCTCACACTAGTGAATCAATCTACGAAAAATCTTTTTTCATCTCTTGCATCTAAACCCATCTACTCGCATCGCTCTCCACCTTTTTACAGGAAATCTTCAAAATCATAATCAATCGTGTTTCTATCTATTAAGCACGAGTGCATCTCACAACAGCAAAGCGGAAATTTTGCTGCATCTTAGATAGAGTCGCCCCCCTCGGTGATGAAGCTGATTTACAGACCTGCCGGTAAAAATAATCTGTATTTTTTAGCATTACCGATCAAAGGCGGTAATTTTTTTTACCGAACTCAGGGTATCGGTTCAAGTGTGTATTTTTGTAACACAAACAATGATAGAAGAGCAATGATTTGTATCGATTAACTTGATTTGTTTACATTTGTTACTTAGGACCAATCTTGTATGCGGTCACAGTAGTCGACACATTTTCTGTGATAATCGTCAAATTACAGTACTATGACAGGCTCTGTCATACGACACTGTCGCCGAAGATCTCACGAATGTATGCATTTTAGTTTTTCTCATAATAAGATCTGCTGATGTTATGCTTGATTGAATTCTGAAAATAGCCAGGAACGTTGTCCTAGTAACAACATTTATGATCAGAAATGGTTTAATTTACACCAAATTGAGGAATTAGAACGAAATCATACATGTCATATGATACTTATTTGTTTTTTTTTTGCTCGAATGTTGTTCTACCGTTTGTGTTGCGTAAGAGACACGACGGCACAGAATGAGAGTACGGATACAAACAGACTGTCGCGCACGACAACGAAGCGGGTGTACTAAAAACGTCAACAGTTTCAACCCCTGCTTAGGACCTTTTGAATAGTTACGCGAGAACTTTTCAAAACGTCAAATATAGAATTTATTGATTATACTCATTGATTTTTCTTCCAAAATGATTGAAGACTTTCATATTTCATGGAATAATTTAGATGGTTTGAACAGCTGCCCTATATTGCGATGTGAAGCAACTGCCAACAATGACATGGACACATTTTCCAAGCGATGTGATAATTCAATTATCCCTCCCCCCCCTCGTTTTTTTTTTCTCTCGGATGGTTGCTGATATCAATTTTCAACACAACATATTCACCAACGGAAATTCAGAGTGACAGTAATATGACTCAACAGACAAGGGCAGGAAATTCCAACTCACCATTCTCATCGCCAATGACGGAACTGGCCTGAACGAGCGGGCTTCCCTTGGCGGACCTCCGGCCTACGTCGCTCAGCTCCAGCATCGCACCGAGGCTCACCAGGATCCATAAATAATAATACTGCTTTGTCACGTACTTTGCCATTTTTTTTCTCTCGGCTCTTCTAGCCTACATCCACTCACTCACTCACTCTTTACAAGATGGCACAACAAATATATTTATTCTACTTGAATAAAAAAAAAGTAACAAAAATCGCAATCACAATTCTTCTTCTTTTCAATCTCCACCAAGGAATCCTAGTCGACGAGATTAGCTTCTACTTTGCGTTTATACCCGGCTTTTTTTTTCTTCACGCAACAACTAGTGGCATTTTTTCTTCCGCTTCCGAAGCACCGTTTGGAAGGACATTTCCGCGTAATTTCATAAAAGCACCACCACCTGTCGTCCCCTGATTTGATCCGATCCGATCCGACCCAAGCCAGGCCCGGTTTCGATTTCTCGGCTTACTTTGTCTCGGGTGTCACAAATTTTCCAACTTCGCTTCTTCGAATCACGGCACACTTAGACTACGGTCGAGAAAGCAGCACATTTATCGGATTCCTTCACAAATTCACACAGCCAAGTTTGAGCTGCCGAAATTTCCTCCCGGGAAAAGTGGCCACTTGCGGTTAACTTTGCAACACAATCACATCGCTTTCGCTAGACCCATTTGGAAATTTGCTTCGCTGACTTCGGGAAGGAAAAGCAAAGAAAAACACAAACTGGAATCTGATTGCCTTCGGTACCTTTTTTCCCGGTACACATTCAGATCTTTTTTCTTCTTCGCCTTCAGGGGGGGAGGGGACCTTTTGAGAGTGGAGACGTGACTTTGGATTTCCGCTCCGATCGATGAAATCCCGCGTCCCAATCCACCACGGTTGATTAGAGTTCCATTAGGGCAAGCCGGAGAGTCTCTTCGGGTGGGTGTCCTTTTTCTTCCTGAATATTCAAACAGCCGTATGGGATGAAAGTTAGCCGGGGACCCGGTGAAAGTGACACCAGACTGGCAGATTTATGCGACTCGGTTGATTAAAATAAATTCCCCTTTTAGGCCGGGGGTCGTCCGGGGCTTTGGGTTGGCGTTGTTTCTTGGCTCTTCGGTTCAATGAAGTTCCGCGAAGATGGATCAATCCCGGTAATCTGTGAATGGGACGAAATGGACGAAAGGATTAGGTTTATGAGAGTTAAGGTTGAATGGAGAAGGGAGAAAAAAATATTGAAAATGGAAGCATCCGTTGCCTTTCAGAAGATGCTCGCATTTTTTCATGTATTTTAAAGGCATTTTTTTTTTCAGATGAGTGCCATACAATTTTTCACAAGATGATTCAATTATGATATAATTTAATTAACATGTATTTTTTAAATTGCACCGTTTTCAGAAATCAGGCATTTTTGTAAATTTTCTATTAGAACCCCACTCTAGGTCTAATATAAGTATTTTTTTTTTTTTTCAATATCTTAAATCATGGTTTATTTTCATCGGTTGCATCAGAAGTTGTTTATTGTTCTAAAAGTGGCATGTAATAGATGCTTACCAAAGAAACAACACCGTCGCTGGGAAAAATCTATCAGGGAATGACTTAATTATTGGTTCACATGAAAATTACACATGGATATTTTCCACTGGTTATGTGATTTATTTTATGCGCAGGCTATAAACATTAAATCACCCCCATTCGACATAAGATGCTTACCGATGTTGACTTTTCAGACGTTCATAGTACACACTTGCGTAATCACAATTTCATTTGGCAAGTTTTCGGAACGTATCTCAAGTTTTTCATATTTCGCTGAAAAATCGCATGGAACTTTGTTAAAGATATTTGACCTTGGTGAAAATATACAGGTATACCTCGATATAACGTAACTGTTACTTTTGACTTCCATCGTCAATATCTTCCTAATAACAATTGAATCATACAAATTAATATTACCAATAGATGAAGGACTATTTCATCTGTCCGTTGATTTTTTTTTTTCTTTATATATATATATATAGGTACTCTTCCAAAGTTTACGGAACGTTTCCAAAGATCCTGGATCATTTTCGAAGTTCCTGAAATTTTTACCAAAGATCCTGGAACTTTCTCAAAATTCCTGGAACTTTTCCAAAGATCCTGGATCTCTTCCAAAGTTCTTGAAATTTTTACCAAAGATCCTGGAACTTTTTCGAAGTTACTAGAACATTTTCAAAGTTTTTGGAACTTTCCTAAAGTTCCTGGAACTTTCCTACATATAGACGCAATGGACACTTTAAAATTACCAAAATTGTCAAGGGGTGGTTACTTATTTTGCGCCAACTTTTTTCTCAGTGTGCCTCAGTGTGCCACAGCTGTGCTTGCAGTGCCGAGAAGTCATTGAGCGGGCTTTTGTTTGCTTGAATAATTCCTTGGATAGCAACCCGGCTACAACATTTCCGTTCCGAGATACGGATCTTGCGGGTAGATTTTGCCACGACGGTCCTGGTTGGTGTAGCACCAGCAGTAGTAGCAGCCGCCGCCATGGATGTCTTAAAGCAGTTCCAAGTGGCGAGGTCGGGCGGTATAGTTTTTGTTTGGTTGTTGACTTTCCGACTGCTTGTCGTGAGCGGACCGAGATTTCCAGCCTCGGCCATGGCTTCACGAATTAGTTATGCCGCAAGAACAGCAGCATTATTGCAAGCAGCCGTGGGAGCTGCATCGCTAATTCGTGTAACCGTGGCCGAGGCTGGAGACCTCGATCCGGCTACGACACCGCTGTTCATCTAATGAACGGATAGAGTCAAGATAGGTGGAAATGAAGATAGAGCCGAGGATGGGTGTCTGTGTAATGATTTTGATAACGGAGCGTGCGGATATCATGAACTCGTTTGAGGGGAAGGAGATGAGAAGTTTGGGTGATAAAGATGAGCATTTTTCCGGTTGCCCTGATTTTTCATGCAGGGTGGTCGGAATGATTGTACGCAGTCTGGCACGAAATGATGTACCTTCTTCTTGGATAGGCATCAGGATGTGTGTTGACAAATAGATTTAGGAGAATCCATGACGGAACTTGGTGGAGATTCACAGTTGTGGTTTGAAAAAATTGCATAGTCTTGTAACAACATCAATAACACATTTTGACACATGTACACTGTGCAGGCGTAGAAAAAGTTCAGTGTTGCCAGTAACTTTAAAGATCAGAAAAATTGTAGCCATGGGTGCCAAACAGTGCCAATGACTGTGCCCAGGTGTGCCCAAGCTTGTTTGTGATTGACCCCTTGCAAATTTATGTACATAGGAAACGAGTTTTTGGACTAAAAAGTGGTTTCTGAATAAAAAATAATATAAAATTATGTGTGAAAATCATGTGTATTTTTTCCTGTGTATTTTTGGTGTGTATTTTTTCCAGAAAAGTCAATCCAGTGTCCTACAGCTTTGTCTCAGACAGTTTTTAGTGTGTATCTTAAAGTCCTACAACCAGTTCCTAAAACCTTGTCTGGCCCATCAGAAACTCTCCCCAGGGTCAGAAGTTCACTGGAATGGAGCCAAAGAATGGGAAGACCCTCCACTTTGCGTCGATTTGTCTGTGGCTAGGCGCTTCAAAGCCCGAAACAACTCTCCGGAGATGCGCGCTTACGTCGCCGAAATTTTAGGGACTTAATATCAAGACCGCCACTACCTAAACACGGACGGCTCTAAAGCTAGAGGAAAACTTGGATTTGGAATCGCAGACCCTACGGAGAGCGTTTTTTTCCGGCTACCTGGCCAGCTATCTGCTCCGTTTTCTCCGCGGAAAGCGCGACCAAATCCATCTGCATCTTATCAGACTCTGCCAGTGCCCTTTCGGCCCTAGAATCCCAGATACCAAGGCATCCCTGTATTCCGGGGATCCAAGAACAATCACCATCGAATGCAGTTTTCCTCTGGGTCACTAGGTCACTGCGACATTAGAGGTAATTGTGAAGCAGATCATCTAGCAACTACCGGCCACTCTGGCCGAATCTTCAGTAAAGAGTGCTGGGCCGGGCTCATTATCCGTGACGCCTGGAACCTTGAGTTGGCTTCCACAAGGCTCTCTTTTATTTGGAAGGTGAAAGAGGAAACATCCAAATGGCAGGATACTACAAGTTGACAAGACCAGGTCATATTGTCTCGCCTTCGTTCCACACGTGCAACACACAACATGGGCTGCTCCTCCAATTTCCGGAAAACTTGCGACACTTGCAACCTTACCATGACAGTGGAACACATATTGGTTTGTTCAACAATCTAAGAAGTCTCTACGGTATACCGAATGGCATAAGGAACACCCTATCAAATGGCCCATCAGCCCAAGCAGTGGTCATCTGCTTCATTAAAGACGCCAAAGTTTACAATGGTATTTAACCCCAAGGACTGACACGGTCACCAACTACCGACACCCTCGAAAAAAAAATGCTACTATGTAAACTAAGCCAGCAACTGCGACACTACTCACCTATTATATTTGGGCTTTGTTTGAACCACTATCTATGTGAGGACTTCCCTCAGGAGCCTCTCTAATCTCTGTATTACGGAAATCTCCTTCCGAGCCGCCTTCTTGTCAGGGAACCCCCTTCTGGGTACCCCAAATACTCAACTTTGTTATTTGGGGCACTCCCTTCTAAACCAACCGACACGGCTGAAAGTCTCTTTAATGATGATAGATAAGATAACAACCATGTCTCAGATGAGTTATTTTCGTGCTATGATTTATTGAAAAATATCAAAAACGCAAGGGGTAATCAACTGTGCACAATGTACCAAAACACAGCACGGCACACTGTTCGGCACGATAGGGCACACTTTGACTAGTAGGACACAAATGATATAATATAAAATGGCATGACTATTGAGTGTTGACGTTTTGCCAATCGTTGCTAAGGTTGACTACTCGGTTTTTTACTCAAAAGTGAAGCTAGTGAGAGAATTTGTTGCCATATATAAAACTGGTAAAACAACGATTCAATCAAGAATTTAAGATCGACAAACCGGTTTCGAGGATTGCTCCGAAAAAATCTGGAAGTATTCTCTGAACCGTAGATCTCTTTAAATCTAGCAAAACTCAGTCCATTTCATCCGATTCACAGCGAAATTCCCAGTGGCTCG